TACTGTCAAATCTCACGAGAGAGGAAACAATTTTTTTCTCATATCCATTTTCTAAATAAATTTATAAACATATATTTAATAACTAATTATCTGCGAAATCTGAAAATAGCTTCTCGTTAATCATATAGGATGTATGACAACATTTCCGATTTACATCACGCAAGTTAATTATTGTAACTATTGTTTGTATATAATCAATATGCACGGAGTTTCTTTTCGAAATGAAAAATCACTTAGTTCTTCTATCATACAAACGTCAATAATATATATTTACCAAAAATAGAAAACAAGAATTTTTTTACTTGTTAATATGATTAAATATTGCTATGTAACTTATGAATCAGTCAAGTTATTATGAGCAATCATATAAAATGTATTATTTTCGTATTTTTTTGTTAAGTGTTAATATATTCTTTATTTCAAGTGACAAATTTCATAGAGTGAAGAAAGAAACAATGAGTTTTTTCTTTTTTGTTTTGGTATTTTAGAAAACTTCATATAATTAACAACGACACTTGTTCTTTAATTAAATTATGATCTTGACACGTAAATGCATAGACTATGACAGAAAAAAAAGTGGCAATATTAGTATCAATAATATCATATGTATATCTTCCTAAAACAAGAAAGATCAAATCTATTCTGTTTTAATTGATCGAAAACATATTATTCGTCTTTTATGTTCAAATAATAATAATAATAAGTTAATATGTAATATGAGTAGAAACAAGAAAATCCTTCATGCATGATTTTTCTTTTAATACATAATTATTTATTACACAATTACGAGCTATTGACAAAACAGAATGAAGAAAATATGTAAATGAATATCTGAAAAGAAAAACCTGTAAATTTATTTTACATCACATAATCCTTCTTTTATTTCATACTTTTTCTTAGGTTTTGTTCAGATATGTGTTTAGTAACAAAATACCGAAATTATTGTTCTTTTAAATAATTAAAGACAAAAAACTGACAAGAAAATGTTACATGTTTGTTGAAACATGTGTGAAAAACTGAGAGAATATCATCAAAGACAATCATTTCCTTTTTTGCTCTATAATTTCTAAATAGATAATTATCTTACTTATATATCACTCTACACGAACTATGTTGAAGTAGAAAAGACATTAAATGAATAGATGCGATTATAAAATTGATAGAGAGTGAGAGCACATCTAAATGAATTAAAGTATAGGAAATTCTATAGATTTGTTGTTTAATGATTCTATACATTTTCTTTTGCTAAACGTAATACTATTTACATTTTTTTGTTTTTTTATATGTAAGACTGGGAAAACAAGACAACTATCTAATCGCTTTCGACATTTACTACCGAATTTGTTAGTCAACAAGAAAATGAATCCCAGATGATTTGCCTAGAATAATCTTTTCATCATCATGCAAGTTACGATAATTGCGAAAAAAAAAGAGAAAAAAATTCTTTTTTTTTTCTTGGTCTTTTTTTTTCTCGAATTGTTTTCACTATTTTGTTCAAGGAAATCTAATAACTGTGTAAGGTAACAAGTAAGTGCTTATTGAATTAATAGGTGTATGCAAGAATTGAAGTAATATATTTATAAATGAAAAAGGAGAAAAAACATAAGACGAAATTGAACGTGTCAATTCCAATCGTCTAATGTATGTCATGCAAAATAAGAACGAAGAGAGCGACAAAAAAATGTGCTGCATACCAAGCAGATAGACCGAAACAAAACGGAAAGAAAAAAAAAAAATAGAGATTTTTTTTCTTTTCACAGCTGCTTTTTTTTCTTGAGTTGGTGTCTTCTATCTATTACTATTTATATATATATTTCGTCTGATTGTCATGAGCTTTTCCTTTAAAAATGTCAGTCCATGTTGATTGAACACGCACATCCTATTAGTATGTCTATGAATTCTTGATATACTCATTAACCATTATTTTCTATCGTAGTAACTTAGCTAAGAACTCAGATCGTTTACATCGATGACATCGGGTATATCTGATGAATTAGGTTCATTAAAACTGAATGATGATAGGGCACGTATATCAACAAATTCAACTTCTCGTCGTAATTATGCAACTGGTCAAAATCAACGTCATAATTTACATTCGAGACGAGCAGCAACGGTTGATCATGATAATCGTGAAGAAAAACTTCGCATTGTTGTACTTGGGGCTACTAAAGTTGGTTAGTATTTGATTCAAATTTTCTTAGCAGAAAAACGAAAAAACTTACAGATAATGTTGTATTTACATGATGAACATACGTCCTCATATACTATCATTCATAATATACATATAGACAGACAAATATGAAGAAGCAGATTTAAATTATTTTTGTTATTAACTTCTTTTTTTGTCTTTATTTTTCTTTATAGGTAAAACATGTTTATGTCAACAATTTTTACAAGAAAAGTTTGTAACTGATCATAAAGAAACCGTTGATGAAATGTATAGTGCAGATATTGCGCTTGCTGATCGTCATATTGTACTGGAGATATTAGATACAGCTGGTATTGATGAATTTCCTGTCATGAGACGTCTGGCTATAGCACGTGGTGATGCATTTCTTATTGTTTATGCTGTTAATGATGCTTATTCATTTGGTATAGCTCAACAAATGCGTCAACTTGTTCTTGAAGTCAAAAATGACTTAATACCAAGTTCTATACCAATGGTTTTTGTTGGAAATAAATGTGATGTTGATATTAGTCTACGTGAAGTAACTCGAGACTATGCTGACAGTATTGTACGTGATCAATGGACAATAGATCATATTGAAACAACATGTCATGAACGTGAATCTGTACTTAGTGCATTTCATCGTCTGCTACATATGGCTAACATTAATATTACACCTAATCCTGATTTAGCACGTCGTTCATCCGATCCAAATTTATCTGCCCATAAAGAACAACGTACTAATAATAAACGTCAAAGTTGTGCACAACAATAATTTATACAAAATAATATTAATAAACATTTAGAACCAGTTCGTTTCTTCTCTTTTTTTTCTTTTCTATAATTTAAAACAAATAACAAAAGCAAAGCTGAATGATTACAAATAGGTGTATAATATCTTCTACGAATTTTATTTTTCTAAATCATACATACATATAACTATATAGAAGAATTTTGTAAATGAATAATTTGACTTAGACTTACAAAATAAGATGATTATAATAATTATTAATATAATAAAGAAATTGACTATTGTACTTTGGATCAACTTAATTGAGAAGATTTAGCTTATGATAAAACATGACATATTGACATAAGTATAAAAAATGATGACATTATTAATCAATGCTATGCATATGAAAATAAAAAAAAGTAAAAATTGCCAAGAAGATTCATTTGAACGACAATAAATTGAAAGACTTTGTAGGAAGAAAGAATTCTTCTCTCTCTCAGCTACTCTGTAGCATGGGGTACTACTCAGAGGCAGGTTCAATAGCCCTAGATCTTCTCTACAATTCATACTAGCTGTAGTTCTGAGCAAAAGGTCAGCTTGACCCAGAGATCTTACGCTCAACTGCTGGAATGCCGCATAAATCCTAACTAATCATATACTAGCCACAAGAGTAGATGTATGTTACAACGTAATCAGTATGCTATCGGACAGGCGATCCGAGACAAATAGTCGTTAGTGACTAAAGCTCTTGAATAAATAAATATATAAAATATTTTTAAAAAGTACCAACAGATTGTTGGTAAGAAGGAAACCTATGTAATATGAAGAGTATTATTGCTGTAATAAAAAAGTGAGATATATGTTTTCTCACTTTGAATTTAGCATATTGACAATAAAGTTCAAAATTATTCTTTTTATTTAGTCATTGATACAAAACATCGTTAGATTAAGATTAATAATCAATGATGAATAGTATAGTCACAAAAAATGAATGTTGAGTAAACGAATGACGATGATTAATTGCTAGTAAAATGATTTTTTTCACTTGTCTTAAGATTTGATCGATTGTTGAGTGAAAAATAATTGGTATGATAGGTTTTTTTGATTCAAATGAAATTAATTTATGATGTATAAAGTAGTTTTATGTCGCAACATTACTGACAGAAATTTAAATTGTTGTCTCAATAATTACTGAAACATTAGTTTTGTCAAAAAAATGCGTGCTGAAGATTATAAAACATTGATTAGTTTTTGAAAATAGTGTATGATACATAAACTTCTTAGTTTTTATCTTAATCATGCTAAGAATAATAAAAATTTGTTGTTGTGTCCCCGATCAAAATGATAGTATGGTCATGAAAATAACCTATTCCATTCTATATGTTGAATTTTGTTTCTTTTCATTTGTTTGTATTTTGTTTTTTTCGTATTAATAATAAAATTTAAATTCAGAATTTTTCTCTTTAGAAATTAAAATAAATCTGATTCGAAACTAATAAAATTGTAAAATGTGTGATGAAATAAAAGTAATAAAATCTCTTATCAAAATCTAAACTATTTTATACGATATCACACGCAATATGCTGTTAACGTAAAAAAAATTGTTTGTTTTCATAATAATGTGTTATTTAAAGACGAAAATTAAATGGTATCTACAACCAACTTCTGTTGTTCTCTATAGATAACGTGAAATTTTGTTATGGCAAGCACGTGTTTTACCGCTGTTAAAAATTTTACATCGTATCAGTCTATTATCAAATATTAGAAATGGAAAATAAATGAAAATATTTAAAAGAAAAACAATGTATACACTGTCGTATGACAATCTGCGTATATTTTAACTGTTAAAATCATGCCTTTAACTTTATCTAACTTAGGTTTTTTACGTTCTCCTGTTATTTTTTCTTTGATAAGACAAGAAAGAAACGTCAGTATTTGTATTGTTATCGTTAACTTATGAATACACTTTTGAAATTATTTTTGACGAAAACCGCTTTTATTTCATAAGTTGACATTTTTTTCATTCCTAAATCTACTATTTCAATATTATTATTCGTCATACGTATCTAACAGATTTGAAATATTTTATCAACATTAACGATGGCTTATTCATCACCAAGTAATTTGATTATTTGTTAAGATATTTTATTTTTAGTTTCGTAAATTAAGATTTTAATGATGTAAGTGAGCAAAACTCAAGTAACCGTAGGTCAATTTTGCCTAATCGTTTATCCCATCAACCAAATTGTCATTGTTTTGACCATGATGTCAATGAAACATATGGAAGACCGCAATATAATGAAGATCCTTCAGTCGTTTTTAGAAAACAAGGAACCAATCGTACTGAAGGCACAGCAAGATGTATGAATGGCATATACAAAGCCAAAAGGGTACCTATAGATGATCGAACATGTTGCGATGTGCAGCCTAATTGTCGATCTTCGATTGCTTCTAATCGTTCTCGAGATTGTAATCGACAAATGAATTGTTGCGAAAGAACACGAAATTTACCCAACGTTTATCCTACACCAAATCGAATTCGTGTTAAACCACGTACATGTGTGATAGATATTAGTATAACATGCAATGGTGGTCGTGGTAATGCACCAGTAACAATTAAAACAAATGAAATACCAACAAGGCTCCCACTTACAAATTCAAAAGCAACAATCGAAAATCCTGGTTACATTGATTTAGACTTGCGTTCACCAGGACATACTGCTGAACTAAAAACAGATGGTATTATACGTAATCAATGATTGCATCAATCAACTATTTATTCAAATGACAATCACCAATAAAATTTCATATTGTTTTCTAATGAACTATTAAAGACCATGTGTGTGCGTGTGTGTTTGTAATTGTATTCATGATTTTTTATTTATCGAAATGAGAATAAACAAAGCCGAGGACAGCTAATGAAAATAGAACAATAAAAGAAAAAAAGAAAATCTATCAATGACTAATCAATTATTGCTTATTTATAATATATTATTTATATTAATATTAACTTCTGCATATCAAAATTGTTTTGAACAATTAAATCATATAAACTATCTATTTTTGAATGATATGTCTCAAATAAAAATTCCATTATTACCACTTGATTGTATTCATTGTCAATCAGCATATCAAGTGAGTAATATATTAGGTTTTTTATTTATTCATTTTTCTTTTTTTTTTGTATAATAAAAATTCTTTAGGTTGATATTCAACTTATTGATGAACAATTTTTTGGTAATCGTACAATTCAACGTATAAAAATTTTTTTAAAAAATTTTGAAATTGAAGATTCATCTTATATTTGTCTTATAAATATTTGTCCAATTATAGTTGAATATGGAAGTGATTCAATTCTATTAAATATAACATCATCATTATTTTCACATGTTTTTCTTTCATTTATTTATTTAAATTCTTATAATTATTCAATAATATGTTCAATACAAACACGTTTTGCTATATTTTCATTAGATAAATTTTTAACATGTACAGAAAAAATTTATCTTCATCCACGTTTAAATATTCAAATCCTAGGACAATTATTAATTTATGATTGTCGTGCATATTTATTTGAAGAAAATATTTATCAAATAAATATAAAATTTAATCAAAAAAATTTTCTTACAAATAATCAAATAACAAGAATTAAATCATCAGGTAAAACATGTGAATATATATTAGAAAATATAATTTATATTAATAATATTTCATTAATACAAACAAATGAATTATTTATAATAATTAATTTATATTCATTTTCTAATCCATGGAAAAAAGATATTCAAATATTAGGAACATGTCAAACAAAATTTATTTCATATCGTGAAATGTTTTTTACAAATGATATTATTCATATTCGAAATATTAATGTAGAACAAGGACAAACTATTCAAATACATTGTAAAGAATTTATTCTATAATATTTTTCAAACATTTTAGTAATCATTGGTTAGATCTTTTTTTTTTAGGACAGTTTAGATGTTGATCGTGCTACTAATTAAAATTCTATTGTAATTCTGATAGCTTAAATTTTCAAGAATGATATTTTTAATCTTCTTCAACCATATATGAAAAAAAAAGACCTAATAAAACTATGAATTTTGTTTTTTTGAATATTCGCATTCATCAGAGAAAAAAAATTGACGTTGGCTTTTCCATATAATCTGCATGGGACAAAAATCACCAATAGTCTAATACTTAAGATCTCACCCTGAAAAAAACCATCATGGACTAGGTACTTTTAAATTGCATGAAATTTTTGGAATATGTTAGAACTATTGAATAGAGGCTCTGCTAAAATTATTAGCTGTATATCATGATATTTTTAGAAGATATTCAATAAACAAAGGTAAAAAATAGTTCATTTGGCAATAGAAAATTCTCTGTAGGCCTTCATTCTAAAGATTTAATTTTATTTATTTTGAAAGAACATATCTGATTGCCATGCCCTATTTTTTGAATTATTAGTTTTTATGTGGAAAAAAAAAGAAGTACTTTTCTTAATCTAAACATAAGAAAAGCTAAATTAAAAAAAAACTAGCTCTATCCGATATTTCAACTGTAAATGCTCATTCAAACAAAAATCAAAAGCAATGAAGCTTCTTCGAGAGTTCTGAATTGCACAATCAGAAAAGCATAAAATAGAGAAAAAGATTTTCTGCTTTTGTGAAAGAAGGTAACGAAAATCTTGACAAAAAAAATATGAGATACTAAATAAAAAATATCATCTTGTATATAAAACATCAGACATCAAGCTATCATCTCGATTCCAATTTTTTCAATGAAAATTGACTACTTTTTTTTTTAACGGCAGAAACCTTCAATAGTCAGTTATCTGCTAACCGGCAATCTATTGTCGGTTTACCGACGACAATGCAAATATGAATTTCGATAAAAATTTGCAATTGATTTTGATAGAAGTCTACAATTATTCGCAATTGTTTACTATTCATATTTAGGTCCAATTGATGGTTCTAAAGAATATTTAAAATACGTATGGTATTATCAAAGATATCAACCTAAATATCAAATATCAAATAATCGAACAATTCTTTTAAGTAATATAACTGAACAAATGCAAGGTTTGATTAATAAAAACAAAAACTAAAAACCCTATTTTTTTGTTCTCATCAGGTCAATATATATGTATTGGTAATGATGGAAATGAAAAGTTAGAATTTGAAATGACATTACATGTATTAAATCAAAATAAAACAAATACTAGTAATAATTCATTCCATATGATCATTATGTAAGAGATTACACGAGTTGAATTTCTTTCTTTTTTTTTTCTTGTTCATGTCTATAAACTTCTTGAGCAAGACAGTCATATAATGTGTACATGTTAGGTACACGAAAAAACAAAAAAAAAAAAATATGAAAATTTCAACTTGGGTAATATTTTATTTAATGAATATCTTTTCTTTTTTTTTTTTTAATAGATTAATTCTTATTATTTGTCTCATTTTATTTTGTTTAATAATATCTTTTATAATATATTTTTTATTAAAAATAAAATTTTCTCAAACTTCTTCATCAAAAGATTATTCAATAGAAAAACAAAATTCTTTAATTATACATCATGATGTTATGGTTACAATTCAACATTCTACTGAGAAACACTTAATAAATACATTATGGAATCAACCACCATATCATACACTTGATTATATTGATGAACAACCATCAAATCAATTAATACAAATACCATCATGGACATGGAATAAACAATTAAATTTAGACATCAAACAACAACAACAAAAGATACCACATCGATTTTCTACTCGTCATAGAAATTTAAATGGACAACCATTAACACAATTATCTGTTAATATACCATTAATAAAATCTAATAGTAATATAACATCACCATTATTAGTTAAATTTTATCAAATATCTCATTCAATAAATAATAGTATTAATGAACAATATAATGATATTGAAATACTTAAAATATCTGTACCATTGTTAAATCACTATCCATTAATAAAATCAACAAATTCAATGATTTCATTTGATAGTCAATATGAACTTGAAGAATTTAATCATATGACTTATGTGTGTATGGATAATGAAGCAGTTTTTATTGATAGACAATAATAGAAGTATATTAAAAATCAATGCAAACTGAATATTTGAATTATCATATATGTATATATTCAATTGAATAGAAATAAAAAGAAATATTTAAATAAAATGTACTATTGATGTAAAATAAATGAAACATGTCATATATAACACTTGTCTATGTCATGTTCAAATCTTTAAGTTGATTAATAATTAAATTTTTTACATAATTTTTCTTTCAAAAATTTTATTGATAAACAATTGATTGTAGTATATGAAAGACAAAAAAAGAAAAGAAAACTTCGATATTTCAATTCGAAAAACACTTCAGATCATGTAATAACTTGTAAACATCTAAAATTGAAAAATCAGAAATTTTTACAAAAGAAGAAATATCTTATCAAATTCATTTCCGAGTTTTCAAATAATATTTTATACATACTATATTTCAATACTAAACAAAAGATTACTATTTCAAATTTTCATTCACTGTATGAAGTCTTTTCAAATTCTTCGGTCAGATTTATATCTAATTTTTCATTAATAATAGAGCAAATCATTTTCTATCATATGAAATAACTTCTAGTTCTCTACAATGGTTTTTTTTAACTGAGATACATTAATCTTACAAAAAGATATAAAAATTATATTTTTATTCTCAATATCAGTACAAAAAGAATTTTTCTATCTTACTTAACATTGATGTTTCTCAAGCAAAAATTGTCGTACAAAGGTAACATTCGATATATTTTGTACAGAATTGTTTGCTCTATTATTCTAAATAATTCATACAGAAATCAAGAAATGAAAAACTTTAAATTTTGAGATTTTTCAGAGACTACTCTATCTTTAGTAACGTATCAATCATTTTCATCTTCATTGAAAATTAAAGTTCTCTATATAAATCATTATTTGAATACTTATTCATGTTTACGGCAATACAATAAATCAGTTCGAGATCTACTCAGTATATCGATTTACGTATTAGTTTTTATCATAAAACTCTCAAACAATTTCTTAAATAGATAATAATTGATATTTATTCTATGTATCGAAAAAAAAGTGATCGTGATCTATATTATCTATACATGGTAAAAAAATATACATTTCGAATACTAATTCGACTCAATCACGTGTTTAAAATAAGAGAAAAAAAACAAAATTCTCTTTTGATTTATTCGAATATACCAATGTATTGTCTATTCATTCACATATATACATTCAGATTGTATCCGACGACGGAAAAGCATGGTTTTTCTTTTTCTTCTTCTTCTTCATCTACTTCTATATCTGTCTGTCTATCTATCTATCCCCTCTTTATCTAATGATTTGTTTTCGTTCTTTTAAACAGAGCACAAAATAAATAACATAACGTTAATCGTATTCATAGATATTATAATGGAGCAACATCAACGTTTATTATATTCATCATCTTCTCATACACCAAAACATGAATGGCGTCAACAATCAACATATTTTCCTCCATCACCACCTATAACAAATAATAATAATAATAATTCATGGATTCGACCAACATCGTAAGTAAATTTTATTTTATTCTTTTTTTTTTTAACAATTTTCTTTTCTATTTGATTGGTTCATTTATATTTGAATTGAAGAAAAAAAAAAAAAAAGAAGGAAGAAGAAAAAAGAAAATGAAAGGTTTCTCAAAGAGAGAGAGAGAGAGAGAACATTTTTTTTTTGCTTTTTGAGTTGTTTCATTTCATTTTTAACATAAACAATCTTTTCACAACTCTTCCTTATCATAAAACAAACACAAAACTTACACTACATATACGCGACAAAAGTATTTCGTTTTTACTTTTTTTTTTTTCTTCTTCTTCTTCTTTTAAGATCAACATTAACAAAAGTCACTCCGAATAGTGACGATAATTCAAATTATTATCATTCTTGGTTACATACAATACCAACACCATCATCACCTATTTTAAATTCAACACATCGTCAACGTTATATACCAAGATTTGCATCAATTAAATCTCATTCACCTAATTATTATCCATTAATGCAAGCCAATTTACAAAAAGATACGACATTTACAAAAATATTTGTCGGAGGTTAATATAAATAATAATAATAAAAAATTTTTTGTATTCTATTAAATTTTTAGGTTTACCTTATCATACAACTGATGAAACATTACGAGCATTTTTTTTAAAATTTGGTGAAATTGAAGAAGCTGTTGTTATTAATGATCGTAGTACAGGAAAATCACGTGGATATGGATTTGTTAGTATAAATATTTTTGTTTTTTTAAAGAAGAAAAAATCTTTGAATTATTTATAGGTAACAATGGTACGTAAAGAAGATGCTGAAGAAGCTGTTAAAGATCCCAATCCAACTATTGATGGTCGTCGTGCTAATGTTAATTTAGCTTATATGGGTGCAAAAAATCGTACAACAACATTACCACGTATATATATAATAAGAAATGATATAAATTTTTTGTAAAATATTATAAGTTGTTTTTTTTTTGCATCTATTCTAGTTGGTTATAGTGTACTTGCTCGAATGCCAACATATCAATCAACAGCTACAGCTTATCCGTATGTAATTTTTTTTTTTCTTCGATATTCTCTTATATTAATGAGATTTTTCCTTTTTTTTTTGTTGAGAGTGAAGCCATTTGTTTGTTTTTTAAACTCAATTATAACTATGATGATTAAACTAGGTTTCATATTGTCCTTGTCTTTTTGATTGAAACGAAAATGAAAGTAGAGTAGAGAGAGAGGAAAGCATTTTATGCCGATAGCATTTATATGAATAGACAACTAATGTATATAATAGAAGAGAGAGGTGAAAGTTGGATAAACAACAATTGCCACCTTTTCTTTTCTTTTCTCTTTTTTTTTTGACTTCTTCAAATTTTAAAAGAAATCAATGGGATACAATGCAGAGCGGCATTCTTTTTTTTCCTGACTTTCTCTCTCTCTCTATAGGCTAATGCAAAGTGTTGCCAACGGATGAACAGCAAAGTGAATTAAATGAAAAAAGAAAAAAAAAAGGTGCTTATGAGTGTTTTACGCGTGCTCTGACCGTGTTTCATTTTTGTTTTGCCCGTTTGCATTTTGTTTGCCGTGTGTATATAAATGTATATATCTATAAAATTCAACCGAATGTAACGATTTATGTCTGATTCTCTTATTCCTAAAACTAGATAAAAAAAAATAAACGAAATGATCATGATAAAAGCTCTCTGGTTTTTTTTCATTACCCCGTGTGTTATTTTGTTTGTTTGTTTGTTGTTTTTGGCTCTCGTTTGTGTTTGGTTTGACTTCGATGATCTATTTTTCTTTTAGTTTGACTACATATTGTATAGGGCAAAAAAACAAAACAAAAATAGAAAACAAATTTATGCAAAGAAAATATATAAATTAAATTTTTTTTTTGTTTTTTTTTACAGGTCAAATGTTATATATTATCCATTAGCGCAACAATCAACACTTCAACAACCAATATATATATCACCAACAACAGGTGCAACAGCAACAACATGGCCATCAAATATATTTTCACAATTTAATCTTGCAAATTTAGCAACAACAACATCGAATACAAATGTATCAGGAACATTAAATCCTGGTACATCATCACCACAAACTCTTTATGAAGTTCCAACTGCTTTATTTGAACCATCGGCTATTGTATCATCACCACCAACAATTGCTGGTAATACACAAACAACTGGACAACAATTATATTGGTCAAGTTATAGTTAACTGAAATTTCTTTTTCTTTTGTTTTTATCTGTTTGCCAGTGTATTGGATTCATTTTTTTTTCTTCTTCTTTGTTTTCTTTTGTGTATAATTGAAAAAAAAAAGAAAGCCCGAAACAAAATCTTTTCTCTTTTCGTCGTCGTCGTCGTCATTTTGTTTATTGTTATTTTGTTCTTCTTTGATATATTTCTGAAAGTATTATTGACTTCAGTACTCTTTTTTGTTTTTGCTCTTTTTCTTTTTTTTTTCGTTGTTGTTTTGCGCCTTTTATTTCGGACTTGGAAGATTTGTTTCTTTCTCATTTAACATCATTTTATTTCTCATACAAAAACAATTGCAAAAACATATATATGGAAATAAAGAAGAATTAAAAAAAATAATGTATTTATCAGTTTTTAAGAAGATTAAATAGATTGTTCAGTATTACATAATAATCTCAAATGTAACATTGTGTATGGATCATATAAAATTGACAGAAGAAACTGAATAATTGATTATTAAATTTGTCAATTTAGATTTTATAACTTAAATAATGTTTTTCGGATACAAAAAAAAGCAAATCTTGATAGGATTTTTTTCTTTTTCAAGAATGATAATGTTTTTTCAAAGTTTATTGATTTACGTAAGCGAAGATTTTAGTCATTTAGTATAAGATTGAAAGGTCATGATCAGTTGCTAGATATTTTTCTGTAAGTATAATAACTTTAAAGATTGAATACGATAAAATAATTGAGATGTTCATTATAGACTTCTTAAAAACAGTTAGTAATGATTTTTCTGATCGAGAAAAGTCTTTGACAAAAATAGCATTGAATGTTTTATAGATTGAGCAATTGTAAGTGTTTTATTGAATTTTAAACGGTCATATTCTATGTTAAAATAAAGCATAAAGAGATTCATATTGAATGTTATCTACAAACATTTCTATGCATTGATAGAAAATTCTGTTTATGTCTATTTTATTTCTTAGGAATCGTCAAATAAAAGTATAAAATCTAATTCTGAAAAATGATTATCTATTCCTCTTGAATTCTTTTGAATATTTCATTGATCATAATAGAAAAAATAGATTTGATTCAAAATTTTGCATCATCCTTTTTCTTTTTTTAAATCTTTTCTTTTAACTAGATTATATCTCTGGTTATATAGATTCTAAAAAACTATAAAATGTCTTGAAAAGATTTCTGATCTTTAGTCTATGACTGCAGACATACTACTGTTTTATGGTATTTGTTTTTGTCAGTGTCATGACCCACCCCTCAATAGCACAAGGAAAAGTAGTTTACGAAACTTTGATTTGAAACTTTCCACAGAGACAGATCTGAACGAAAAATAGTTTATTGTAAAAGTTTCAGATCTTTTGATTAGCTTCTATTGTGAAATTCAAACATCAAATCTGCTAGTGTATACATATAGGCAATGTTAAAGACACATTTTGTTTTATCGTAGTCATATCATATGACTGGAAAAACGAGAAGATCTGAAACTCTCATGATAAATTATTTTCATCGAGACCTATCGCTATGCAAAGTATCACGTCAAAATTCGAAAGATCAATTTTCTAAGTGTCTCAGAGGAGAATCATGGCATTGACTTAGAAAAATATCATAGAATGGAGTATTTTCATCACAATGAGTTAATGATTAGAATCTTTTCTTGGAGTATTCACAGATCATTAGAGTTTACATAATACACATTAGTCTTGATTCAAATGTGTGATTAGTCAAGTGAAAAATTTCTCTCATTAGTCTTTTAGTAATAATAAAAACTCTGTGAAAGAACAAAAAACAAAATTTAAGCATTTTTTTATTTATCTTAATGCTATATTTAAATGAAATAAAAAAAAGAAAGGGAATTACATAGCTATAGGTTTAAATATGATATGAATTTTTTTTTTTAATTTGAATAAATATGTCTTAATTGCAACTTGGACAAACAATAGCTGAACCAAGACGATGACATGGCTTATCAACTAAACTAAGTCCACAACGATTACATGTAAAACATTCATTATGATATGGATTATTTTCATAATATGAAAATGATTGTGTTTTTTCAATTGGTTTTTGACATTTAACACATTGATGAATTTCAATTGGTTTATAATCCGAAAATTCTTGTTTACCTTCTGTATGACATTTTATACTATAATAAATGAATAATAAAAACATAAAAAAGAAAAAATGAACTTCTAAACATACCATTGTGGATAACCTCGTAATTCAAAAAATTGTTCACCTTCATTTATTTGTGAATTACATGACCAACAACAAAAACATTCTGGATGATATTCTTGTCCTTTGTATAATTTATATCTTATACCTGCTTCAATTGTATTTCCACAACGTTTACAACGTGTTGATACACGTTTATGACATTGTTCACATGTAAAACCTTCTAATGTTGGATAAAAATTACCACTTAATGGACTTCGACATTTAGCACATTTAAGACAATTTTGATGATAAGTTTTATTATTAAATATTGTACGTGATTCTGTTCGACCAAAACTTTTACCACATGCTCCACAACGATCACAAAAATGCGGTGTAGTCATTTCTTTTTCTTTTTTTGTTTCTTCTCAAAAATATACCAAATTTATTCAGTTCTATACTTATATATAGGACACGTATAGATTCCACAATATTCTATGTATGGTAACAGAATGATGATGGGTTGTACAGAACAAGAATAAGTTATCGGTATAAACAGGAAAAAAAAAGAACCTAAGGCAAAAGCAAAATAAAAAGAAAAAAAAAAAGCAAAACTTCCTAGTAATATTTCTTCAACGATATTTCTGTTATCTATTATAACTTTTAGCATATCTATCGGAAAGAAGAAGGAATTTGTTTTTTCTCGAATCATCCAGACGACATAATTTGCTTTCCTATTATAGATACATTTACAACCTAAGGAACAAAATATCTCAGTACACAACGAAAAAAAAAAAAAGAACGAGATTATCTTTGTTTTCTTCTTTCTATACTATGTATATATACATTAAACATACAAGCTAAATTTCTAAGAATTGCTGCATTAGAGTAACTAATAGTAGCACTAGAGGAAGAAAGAAGTCAAATGTTATGTTGAATATGCATGCTGATGTATTCTCGTCGAATATAAATTAACATCCTGAACAGATATAACTTGCAGCAGTATAATATCAATAAAGAGAAAGATGTCAGATGATCATAATCGATTGATACATTAGTTGATGATATCAGTATTGGCATAGTTTTTTTTTTTTTTTATGTATCTTATAATTAAAAGAAAACATCTCATATTAGATTGCAATAACCAAACGTCATTATTTGTGATAAAAAAGAGAAAAAAAATCTTTTGAAACATAATCTGTTAAAGTTTTCATATTTTAGATTATGATTTTGTTTTAATCTATTATAAGATTATTATTATCTTTGAAAAATTGAATAAAAGTTCATAGAAGTAAGAAAAGGTTAAATGTAATGATTATAATTTTTCATATATACATTTTTTTTTTACGTTTGAGTACAAAATGTTAATTGCGTTGAAAAAATGAGAAACACTTTAAAAACGAAATTGAAAGAGATGTCGTCCTTTTCTTTCTAAATACTTTTGCTTTATTATTTTTTACAAGTTGAATAAAAACAATTGGTCTTTCCTTTTGAAATAAACAATTCTTAAATTTCAAGATTCGTTTGCATAATGGAAATATAATTTCAATATAGTAGTGAAAATAGCCAAGGTTGAATCGTTTTTCTTCATCAACGACTGAGTTTCGCTTAAGAAGAGACTAGAAACTGTATAGTTGTGCTATCAGAAGGTTTCTAACCTCTCGATAGAGATTAAGTCCAATACAATTTTTCTTCTATGATTACATAGAATATTTTGAATGATTGATAAATTTTTGTCATGATCACATAACAAAAATTTATATTTCATCTAAAGATATGAGAGTAATTATTAATGTACTGGATGATCAACTGAACTTTGATCACAAAAAAAAATATATTTGTGATCACGCAGTACACTAGTGTTACGCCATAACTTCAATGATATTTGTTTGTTTTTTTTTGAGTATATCTACAGAGTACCGAAAACAATAAGCAAGATTCAAATGTATTTTCATGTGTATCAAGTTCACTCAGGTGTTGATATCGAAATCTTTCATCTTTCAGATTCTTGACAATGAAACTTATTAATAGAAATTTTTTAGCTATTCCATAGAGATGGTATTCTATAATCAGAACTCAATTCTTTTAACCTAATCATCAAGAACAAGTACAAAAAATTAATATCACTCAGCAAAAAATATATTATACGAAATAGGACATAAAATTAAAACAAAAAAAAGCTTGTTATTTTTATCTGAATAAAATAAATTAAGTCACGTTCTCCTGTTTGTATATATAATATTTTTATGAATCAACTAAGATTAAAGGTCGTATGAATCACATTATTTACAAAAGAAATAAAAAATAATAATATAACCTTTAATTCAGCAGATACTTAATTTCGTAGCAATATTTTTTTTTTTTTATTATTTTTCTTTCATTGAATTACATACCGATCTCATAACTATTCAATCGTAATTGAGGCAAGATTTAAAACATTCTTTATATATAAATAAATAGACATATATATATATACACATAAGTTTAAAATATAGAGAAAATTAAAAGAAAAAAAAACCTGAAAACAATTCAAATAACTATAAACACACACACATATAGATATATATATATATATTTATAAATATATATGTAAACAAAAATTATTTTTTCATCGATTCATTCGATGCTTCATCATCATCATGATTAATATCCATTGGTGAATATACTGATGATGATTGACCAGTATAACGTCGTTTTTTAAATGGTAGTTGTTCTTCAGATTGTTTACTTGTATCCATCGGTTGAGTTTGTTTATTTTCTTCACTATCTGATCGTTTATTTTGTAATGAAGAAAATGTTTCATATATTGCATTTGTTTGTAAATGTGATAATGTTGAATAATGTGTATTTGGAAATTGTACTGAATGATGATTTAAAGGAGTTATTATATGATATGGATGTGTTGGATGTTGATTTGAATTTGTTATTACATAAGCAAAATTTGTATGAGGAAGAAAGTAATTTGGTAATGAATGTGATTGAGTTGTTGGAAATATACCAGTTAATTGTGGTAATGATGCTGGTGGAATACCATTATTTGATAATGTTGAAGAAGGAATTCGTATAGGCATTGTTGTTGGATTATGAAGTGATGATGAAATTTGAGATGAATGACAGAATATTGGCATATGATGTTGTGGAGGTAAATCAAGAGGATTTTCATTGAATGAACTTGGAACACTTGACGATGATGATATAAGAGATGAATGAAAACCTAAAATAAATTTATATTATTAAATGTAATGAAAGAAATTCTCATATGTTCACTAGAGACAATTATAGATAAATTAGATGTGTTCGCTTTTTTTATTTTATTTTGTACTTTGAAGTAATAGGGTTGTGATATTAACGTTATTTGTATTTTTTAAAGAAGAAAACAAAAATTACAATTTTATCTTTTTTTTTATTTTTTCATGAATATGAGTTTTATAAATTAATTCAATGAAATATCTTGAATTGTCATAAACATGATCAAAGTTCTATTGAAAAAAAAAAGACTCAATATTCATACCTGAACTTCTTGATACTGATGAACTATCAATATTAATCGGTGATGATGCTTGATATTGTTGTTTATTAGCATGATTAATTGTACGAGGTGATCGTAATGTATATGGAAAATGACTTGGTGAATATAAATGAGATCGTGAATTTGACAGAGATGATGGTGGACTTTTTAAAGGATTATTATTATAATTTTTTCCCAAAAGATTTTCACTTATTGTTCGAGATCGTGTTTTTGTTTTAATTATTGATCGTTCTGTTTGTGTCATCGCTTCAATATGTCCTGATAATTCAGCACTTCTTAAAGCGAAAAGAATAATAATATTTACGAAAAAGAAAACAAAAAAACAAAAAATGCTTCTGCTGTTTTTAGACTTACTTGTCTTCGGTGAACATCTAAAAGTACAAAATTTTATTAAAAATGAAAGAAATAATAAAAAAAAAAATTTCTTTTCAATTTACTTGTGTTGTTGATAATTCTCGATAATAATCTTCATCTAATTGAACTCTTCCAACACCATTTATCTGTTGAACATCAGAATGTTCTGGTGTTTTACTACTACAATCAAAACAACCAAGAAATTGAATGCATATACCATCAACAATCATTTTTCCTGAAATGCGAGTCTAAATGATAATGAAAAAAAAAAATAAATTTCATATTTTTAAAGTTTTTCAATAAATGAAATTGTTTTTTTTTACTTTTGTTTGATCATGTTGATCAGGTATACTTTGAACAGAATCAAGAAAAAGTGAATAACCAATATCTCGAAATGTCTTTAGAAAAATTAAATATATAAATTTTCGTTTTTGTTTTTTTGAAAATTTAAATAAATACTTACAACAACTAAATGCTTATTTAAAATATCTTCATCAAAACGTTTTGTTAAATCTGATAAATCTTGATTATGATGGAAATGATTTTGAATTGGTACATAAAAAACATCAGTTTCATGTAATAATTTACTTAATTCTTCATGATGTTCAAATGATTCTTGTTGAGAAGGTAAAAGGCCTATTGCTGTTGGCATTTTCGTTTGTAAATAATGACCGCAAATAATAACAAATTTTTCGTTTATTTATGTGGTGAATGGTTTTTATTTTTGTGCGTGATTTTTTTTTTTTGGTCTTATGACATGCAGCAATCATTGGATCGCACATGCCATTTTCTTTTCTATGTGGACTTTATGACTAATAACCAATGAAAAAAGACAGAACAATAAGAGAAAATAAATTACATTTTTCGATAGAGATAACATTTTATGCTTTTGTGATGTAAAAATATAAAACAAATTCTAGAAAAATCTATTGGTACTGAAATAATTTCAAAGACGAAAATTCTAAACTTTTCTCCTTAGATAAACATTGAATTTTGTTGTCTACACAATGACATCATCATCATCATCAACAGATATCCTAATTATTGGTGCTGGACCTACCGGTCTTATGCTAGCATGTCAATTATCACTTTATCCAAACATATCTTTTCGTATTATTGATAAAAATTCAAGTCGTAATATACATTCACGTGCTCTTGTTGTTCATGCTCGTTCACTTGAACTATTTGCACAACTTAATCTTGTCGAAAAAGCTATAACTCAAGGAGAATTTGTTAATGGAGGTAATATATTTATTCGTGGAAAATGTCGGTCTTCTTTGAATATGAAATCTATACAAACAGATCAACAATCTTTACTTACACGTTATCCATATATTCTTTTCCTTGAACAATCAGTCACTGAACAATTATTAGAAACATATTTAAATGAACATAATATTCATGTTGAACGACAAACTGAAGCCATAGATTTCATCGATATAGATTCGAAGAATGATAATGAAGTTCAAGTTATTTTATCGACTGGTGAAATTATTCGAACAAAATATGTTTGTGCATGTGATGGTGCACGAAGTATTGTTCGACATAAATTAAATTTATCATTTGATGGTCGAACATATTCGGAATCAATTTTTGTTGCTGATTGTAAAATTGATAATATACCCTTTGGTAAAAATCAATTAACACTTTTTTTCGCATCATCTGGTTTATCAGGTATATTTCCAATGACTCATGATCGATATCGTATTGTTGGTACAATTCATGAACAAAAAGAAACTGATCAAACAATATCAATTGAAGAAGCTGCAAATATATTAAAACAACGAAGTGAACATTTCGATATGAATATACATGATTGTAGTTGGATCTCTGTTTATCGTTCTCACCATCGTCATATAACAACATTTCGATATCGAAATCGATATTTTCTTCTTGGTGATGCTGCTCATATTCATTCACCTGTTGGTGGTCAAGGAATGAATACAGGCTTACAAGATGCACATAATCTTGCTTGGAAATTAGCCTATTTATTAACACATTCAGCTCGCGATCGTCTTCTTGATACATATCATGATGAACGTTCAGCTGTTGCAAAAACATTAGTTAATACAACTGATCGAGCTTTTGCTTTTCTATCAAGTGTTAATTGGATTACACGACTTGTTCGTTTATTTGTTACACCAGTTCTACTTCAATTTGTCATACAACCATTATTTACTTACTCAAGAAAATTTCGACAAATAGTATTTCTTCGAGTATCTCAATTAGGTATTACATATCGTTCATCAAATATTTATGATTATGGTGCATCAGCAGGAAATTTTCATCAAACTACACCACAACCTGGTGATCGTTTTCCTTATGTTATTTTTAGTCCATGTTATTATCATTTAATTCTATTTGAAAATCAACAATTAACAAAAGTAAATCAATTTGTTGAATTTATCAAGAAAGAATATTCGAACATGATTCAAATTCATGATAGCAATGAAGAAAAGATTCCATTGCAATTTGAAGGTGCTATTCTTATTCGACCTGATGGATATATTGCTTATCGCACAAATGTATTTGATATAAAACATTTTCAGTGCTATTTCGATCAATTTTTTCTTAAAGAAATGATATAGTTTGTTTGAATGTATTCACGAAACTTTATAGTTTGAAATGATTGATTGGAGAATGGGATTGCTTGTCTTATTTTTAATAAAATCTTAGATAGTTTATACAGTTTCATGTTCATAGATTCTTTTTATAGCTAAATCGAACAAAAAAACCTTGGTTTAATTTGCAAAACATACAAATATTTATATAAACTGTGTGAGGTTTTTCTTTACAATAAATATTTAAAAACAAGATGAACATACACTCAAAACTTATTATAAACACTCTGGTTCACAAATAATTTTTTTTTCAGACTGAGAGAATTTTGATACTTGAAGAATAAAGACTAGATTATATTATTCGCATCTGATTCCTTTACCTATAACGATGAGATTATAGATATCTTATAATTAATTCGTTCAGATGATGCAGTGAAAAACATTCACTACTGGACAGAAAATAAAAATTCCTCAAGCATACATTAATCTAAGTATTAGACGGAGTTTATATATATAACTACAGATAATGTCATGTCATCAACATGGATGATAGATTTGATCATGATGACATTCTATTCAAGTTTTGACTTCTGATATCTCTGGAATGACGAGTAGTACCATATGGTTGACATCTATGTTACTAACACAGATTTCTATCCATAACGTCTCATACTTAATTGACAAAATCGAACAACCATGTAATAATTACATGATATCCACTTTACTATAATAGCTATTGATTACTGCACAAATTTATTATGTCAGTTGTAAAATACAGTTTATACAGAATCACTTAATCAAAATAATGTCAATATAAATTGCAGTATTCAATAAGATTCTTTCAGTTAGTACGTCAATACACATGAGAATAATAATTCTACCAGTTGATACATCAAATCTTTCATTTACTGATAAATCTAGCAGAGCGAAAATTCAATGACAAAAGAAGTTGAAGAAAATTACGTTTGATTTTAAAACATTTGATTATAGTAGTTTGTACACTTTGTTTTTTTATTCTAATAATTTACTATATTGTGAAAATTTTTTAAAATTATATCACAATAATCTACAATAGAAGTTTTAATTATCAGTGTTGGTCGAACGAGTTTTATGTTAGCATGTCAATGGTCATTTTAGCGAAATACATCGTTTCGTATTATAAGTAAAAATTCAAGTTCTACTACACAATCATGTGAACTTGCCATTCATGCTCGCTTTAAATATTCGCACAAGTTAATCGTATTGAAAGAGCAATATCTCAAGGACTATTTATTTATACGATGAAAGTATACTTGCAAGGTTGATATAGACTTCGAATAGATTTTATGTACATTTATACTGAACAAACACTTTGATTTACACATTATCTATACATGCTGTTACTTGAACAGCCAGCTACGGAACAACTATTACAAACATACTTGAATGAACATAATTTTAATGTTGAAAAACAAACTGAAACCATAGATTTCATAGATGTAGATTCAAAGAATGATAATGAAGTTCAAGTTATGTTATCAACTAGTGAAATTATTCAAATAACATATACTTGTACATGTGATAGTGCAAAAAATATTGTTAGACATACATTAAATTTACCACTTCATCTTTGAACGTATTTCGAATCAGTTTCTGTTGCTGATTGTACAATTGACAATTCACCAATAGAAAAAGCGAATCTACCGGTTTGGTAAGTATGTTTCCAATAGTCGATAATTGATATTGTGTATCTGATTTAATTCATGAACAAAAACATGCAGACATGAATTCAATCATGGATGATACTACAGCTAGACTAAAATCTCATAGTCGACATTATGATATAGATATAAATGCATGCAATTGATTATCTATTTATCGTTCTCACCATCGTATTGTAACAACATTTCGAGATCGATATCGATACTCTTTTCCTGGTGATGCTGCTCATGTTAATTCTCCATTTTGGTGGGCAAGGAATAAATATAGGTTTACAACATGCAAATAAACTTAATTGGATATTAGCCATTACATTAACACATTCAGCTCGATATTGTCTTTTTGATGAATATTATGATAAAAATTCATATAGTGCAAAAACATTAGCTAATAAACTAATTGAATACTTGCATCTGTTTCTAGTTATAATTGATTTACCAAGTTTGGTGATCTTTATATTACGCTTTATTTACTAGGGTTTTTTTGTTCTACAACTCATACAAAGTCATCCACATGCATTTTCAGAAATACTATTTTTTCAAATTTCTTAATTAGGTATTACTTATCGTTCATCAAATGTTTATGATTATGGCATATCAATAGGAAGTTCTCATCAAACTACACCACAACCTGGTGATTGTTTGCCTTATGTTATTTTTAGTCCATCTTTCTATCATTTAATTCTATTTGAAAATCAACAATTAACAAAAGTAAATCAATTTGTTGAATTCATCAAGAAAGAATATTCGAAAATGATTCAAATTCATGATAGCAATGAAGAAAAGATTCCATTGCAATTTGACGGTGCTATTCTTATTCGACCTGATGGATATATTGTTTATCGCACAAATGTATTTGATATAAAACATTTTCAATGATATCTCGATCATTTTTTTTCCTAAAGAAATCATGTCGTTCATTTTATTTATTATCATTTATGAGTTTTGAATTTTGTTAGGCAGCGTTAAAGTTTTAATGAATAATTAATTCAAACTATTATGTCAATCGACAAGTCCATTTGAGCAATGAAGAGAAAAAAAGTTAAAATGTTTAACAAGAAATATATTTCAAAACTATGAAAAAACGTTGAAGGGATTTATATCGACACCGGTCATATTCGTCGATTTATTTGAGACAGACCATCAGGTTTGGAGGAGAAAGTAAGTTGATTTGTCTCTCCTCAATTTTTCTTGTGTTTTGCATTGTCCTCTTCAAATTTTCTGGTATGAATAGTTAACACTTTTAATCCTAAAACGAATACATAGCCTAGGCATAAGCGAACTTCTATTTTCAAGTTTTTAAAGAAAACCAATTATTTTCTCTCAAAGAGAAACTGAATCAGATCATATTTTGAAGAGTAATGTAATAAATCGATAGAGCATTAGGACAGCGTCAAAAGTATGGTTTAATCGTTAATAGATCTCAAATTCATCTAATACATGCTGCAGAACACCATGTGCAAAATTCAGCTTGATATTCGAACGACAACTTTAAGTGTCATTTTACTGAATATGTTTCAACAACGTACCTTATTAGATATCTGATGAATATCTTATCTTAGAATAAATAAATTTAGGCATACCCAGTAAAAGACACTGAATAGAAATTTTTTAGTATCTACATTTATGTCTTTACCTTTGAAAAAAGCACTGCAGTCAGAATAAAATATGAGTCAATCAGATATTCATCTTCTAGATTCACCCATTGATATATTATTTTAATAAAAAAAATAGATAGCCCATTGTACAGTTGTGTCTGATTTTTGGTAGAACGAAAAACTACTGAAAACAAAAACAAAATATCGAAAATTATACTAATATCATATCAGTACACTCTATTTATATATAATTGGACGATATGTATGCTGCTAAAACTGCACTAGTAATATTCTCTTGATATTTTTTTCAGCACTTTTTTCTTTTGACTATTTTCATGCTATTCATTGTATATGTTGTGTCTGATGTTCAGTTCAAATTACTAAATTATGTTACAGCTTGTTAAATAGTTTGAATCTGTAGTATTTCTCTCTACTTGTTTGAGTTGTTTAGTTGATACGAACGTAGCCAGATTTCTCCTTTCGATCAAACTTCGGAAACGAGATATTTCAATCAGTGATACACTCTCATTGATACGACGAAGTGAATCTTGTTGAAGTAATGATAATATTATTTGTGGTTCATTTTTGATTATATATTCACTGAAATATATTAAACTTAGACCATCTGTATCCGATAAAATACGAGCCATTTGTGGAAGATTATTCTCAGAAAGCCATTTCTGTACATGCGTATCTGTCCAGTCTTGTACATGTTCAGGAAATGTTATCGATTGTGATGGTGGTTGCGACAAACAAGAAGAAACATCTAATAATTCTATATTATTTAGTTTTGGTTGAACAGATGTAGTTGAAATTTTATTACGTGCATCAGCCATTTTGAACTCCTTCATCAGCATATCGAGTGCTTTCGAATATTCATGCTTCGTAAAATCAACATACAATAATGAACTTATTAGAAACGCAAGCCATCCATCAGGTTTGTAATGTTTTTGCAAGAGAATCGGTACCATATTTAATTGTTTTTGAAATGCATATTGTGCTTCGGCTCGACAATAATTACTTCGTTGATATTGTTCACTCATACAGATCATAATAGTTCGAGATTGCTCAATAGCTTCTACCATTGCATCCATGACATTGCCATACATTTGATCGAAATCAATCCATACTCGATAACCAACTCGAATGAGTTCTTCATACAATTGTTTACAAATTTGTTTATCTTTATGTGAATAACTAATCATAATATCGAATTTTTTCTCATGACTATTGTCAGATGCAATGTTTTCTTCATGATTTAAATTTAAATTCCAAAGAATACCATTCACACTTTTACGTATGTTTTCATCGCTTGCTTGAAGATCCAATTGAACTAATTTAGCTGTAAATGATTGGTCCAATTGAAGTTGTGTAACAATAACTGAATTGAACGAAAGAGCCCAAATAATATCGAATGCCAAAGGATATTGGTCACATAATTTAATAAATAATGATATTTTGTTAGAATTAGCTGTTGCTGCTTGAAAAATATCATTCGATGATAAACGCAGAAAACCTATTTCATATATATATATATATCAAATATTTAATTAATTTATAGACTCTTCAAAAAAGAAAACATTAGTTGAAATCGGCATTCATTATTGGTTTCAACTTACAATACATTTCATCATATGCAGAATGAGCTAATATAAGTGTTCAAAGAATCGCTTTTTTTTCAATTTAGAAAAAAAAATGGTGAAATAGAACTTGTGAGTACAAATAATTGATTTGATCGAGTCATATCGATCTGAGACTATGAATGATTCTTATGTCTAAGAAATTCAAAGTGCATCACAACATAGTATGAAAGCATTATTCGACAGGAAAGTCTGATAGAAGGCTTAGCTGAAATCTTACAAACGTATCAAAAACAAAGCGGAGTTTTTGCAAGAATAAATGAAAGAATCGAATTCAAAATTTCATTTGAGTTAGGAAACTAATTTTTATTGGAGGGCAATTGTTAACATATCTTCTAAGAACAAAACATGCTCGAATAAATATACCTTTTAATAAATGTTGAATTGTTATTTTTTTCCATCGTTTTGTCGGATGGTTCCATGCTTGTTCGAGAATGTGGAAGAAGAATTCGCACATATTATTGCTAATTTTTAACGCTTTCAATTGTTTATCAGAAAGAATTTCGGCCAAAAACCCGTAGGCACAAACACGAATTCGATCATAGGGTGATGTTTGTGCTATGGACCAAAGTATTGTAGGTAAATTTGTTTGTGAACTTATGAAACAGCCTAAATCATATGTTTCTACCGTACTTAATAGAAAGCCTAAACTCGCATCTATAAGAACAGTTTCATCATTGTATGATTGAGCAGAAATACGTTGATGATAAGGTTGATAACTAACAAGACGAATAAGGGCAAAAATATGTTCATATGTCGTGTCTTCAGATGGAACAATAAGTTGGATATATTGAGGCTTTAGTTCACACCACCAACACGCTGAACACATGAGACCGATAATATGTGCAATACAAGCAAGCAATTCGCCACTCCACGAGTCTATAGTGTAACTATTTATAAGAATCATTTGTGAATAGTCTTCATTGAGAAATTTTATAATTTCTGCGCCGGTGAAAGGAAGATTTTGTGATTTCGACGATAAACAAACGTTCAATGAAAATGAACATGTTTTCAAGTAAAAACGTTGTTTAGGATTAAACACAGATTGTGTAAGGTTTGGATCACATAGTTGTTTTAAATAGAATTTATATTGATCTGTGATTAAAAACTCACGACTCAATCGACTATTGAGATGTAACAGCGTTGGTAAATAGACGATATCAGAAATATCATGAGCTAAATACGACACGGTATCAAACCACATACAGACAAGTGTCAGAAATGTATCATTGCTCGATTTGATTTGTTCAAGTACACCATCAATCCAAGCAATATTCGATGGAATAATAAGCGATATTTTTGTATCAGGCTGAATTTCATCATTATTCGAAATTAATTTGAGATTAAATGAATGCAGTACATGAAAGAACTTGACGCAATCATCGAGATTGATCCATCGCTGTGAATCTTTACTGAGCATTTGCCATGTCCAATGTTCAATAGTGATTAAAGACTTGAGTGATGCTGATACAAACGACGATATTGTTGAAGAGGTTTGCTTTTCGAAAATATCTGTCATCTTCATTATCAAATCATTGGACCAAGATGCATTAAGGAGTGCAGGAACAAATTGCTCCAGATTGCTTTCTGTCATCTTGTGTTTTAAAGAATGCACCAGAAGGTTGTGAAAAAGCACACGTGATGTAGTAAATCAATCAAGTAATAAACGGTGAAATGTGAAAGAAAAATAAACCAGGTGAGTTATGCTTGATCGCAAACGGCTGTGTGCCAATCAATTACGACAGGAAAGGACAAACTTTAACGGTAACCATATATAGCAATCGCCAACGATGCTGTAGGGTGTATTACGACCATCTTTAACGATAAATGTAAGAAAACATCTTAAACAGCCAGCATAGTTATAAGATAAGACACTTGTAAACGACACCCAGATAATGTCGCTAAGCACCGCGTATGCAAATTTTATACGATTTATTTTACGATCATTGTTTTTTTATTATTAACATTCGTTTGCCCTGTGATCATTTTCGTCCTAAAGGATTGATCGAGCTCTAAGATCGTAGATATCAATAGTGAACTGACTTAAAATAAAATAAGAAGAAAAACGAATAGGTGCATGAAGAGAGAACAAGAACAGGATCAATAAAATAATTGTTGAGTGATCATGTTTCAAAGAGTCGAGTCATAAGTATATATGTATGAAGTTTTTTATTCTTTCCTCTCGTTCTTGTCTCTTTGTTAAATAGACTTGATACAGGATAGAGGTGAGCATTACATTAGACACAAACGTCAATCAAAGTAGTCCACATATGATTGATCAAATCATCAACGATTATTCGAAAAAACATCATGCGTGAATTTTTCACGATTTGGCAATGTTTCACAACACAATGGGCAAGCATATCCTGTACTACAGATGGAATATTCTTTTATGAACGGCCTCTACCCTATATATAGCTCCTAGCCAGGACGAAGTATACGAACTCCGTGCATGCTCGGAAACGACCGCTCATCCTTCATGAACGTTTCTGAGTGTATACACATTTCTTATAGTTCGTTCTAGATAGTCAATTAGAAAACAAGTGATTTGAATAAATATCGAATATGTTAACGAATTTTTTCCATTTACCTAGAGAATGTAAAATGAAACAAACCGCAAAAGAATATTACTCATGTCGTATGTTCAGTCGAGATACATAGATCGAGAATGCTTATATTCTCTTTGTTTTCTTTTGCTCTTTGCGTTCATTTTCATCGTCGTCTTGACTGTATAAAGTGTCTTTTCTTAGTTTAGTGGTAGTGTATCTGACTATCATTCATATACCGTGCGTGATTTTTTCAAAGATAATAAGGCAAAAAAAATGTTACTGATGAAACTGATTAATTTGAAAGAAAGGCACAAGCTACTTTTTTATACTTCAGCTATAAGAGAAAAACTGCAAATTGTCAACGACAAAGTAAGGCTGTTTTTAAACATATAATAAAAAAAATCTGTGTTTTTTTTGTTTTTACCCTTTGTATCAATAAAGATATGAGTGATCGCATACATGAAACTAATGATAAAGAGGCACAATGGAAAGATGTAGTCAAGAATAATTTAATCGATCAACTTAGTAAATTAGGTCAAGAGGAGGAGATTCAATGACTGCTTATCAAACAAAATGAGAAAGAAACTAATAAAAAGACTTTAACAACAGAAAGAGGATAAAGATATTGAAAATAATATATTTGTACTGTTTTATATTTATTCGTTGTTAGATTGAAAAGTAGCAAAATTAGAAATAAACAAAGAGAATCTGAAAATATCTGAATTTGCAGCTAATGATCAAAACTGTGGTCAACGTTGGTGCACCAGTGAACTAAAAGTATTTTCCAATATGAAAGTTCTTTTTTTAATTAGTTCTTAAAATAAAAATAAACACAAATATCTATGTTGTATAGAGCCATATCAGTTAACAAAATTGTGATATCGACAGAAAATTTTCATCTGATTGTATAAGCAATCTACATAGAGTTATACGATATTCAATATTCAATGATGAATAACAATCAATTAAAATAATTGGTATTACTAGTTGTTGTATCATAAAGCAAAAGAAAAATTCCAAAATATATGATTTATTTTCATCGATCATATCCATTGAAAGGGGAACAAAACCATGATGCCCATCATCAAAACTTCGTTAAATATTGTATAAATATCCCCATACAACATTTATGAAAGAAAGATTTTTTGTTTTGATATACAAGGTGTTCCAAGAGTCGTATCCAATTGAAAAATACATATAACTGTATTACTAAACAAGCTTAATCTAACATTTTTTTGTATTTGGAAGAGGAAAGCATAATTTGGTTCTGTGTAATACAAAGTTCATAAACTTTAAAAACATAACCATACTTACTCTTCTTTTATTAAATCAATTTCTTACGGTATTCTGGTCTTTAAATCATCCAGCTCTTTTACTCTTGTTTTTTAGAAATTTATTTTGAGGTGTCGCCACAAAAAGAAGTCAAATGGTGTCAGGTCTGATGATCGAGGAGCCTATGAAATTGGTTCACCGTTTTACTTCCCCCTGTCATCAAAGATATTGTTTGGCCAGAAGCGAACTACTTTTGAGAAATGTGCTAGTGCTTCATCTTTTTGAAAAATAATCCACTAACTCAAACGTTTCTTTTGTAAAATCACATATAAGTAATTCTGAAGCATATTAGAGTAATTGTCCTGAATAACTGTAGGATTATGAAACACATATTCGAATGCTCGATTTACTACTATTTGACATAGATTTTTAAAAGTTAAGTCCATGGCTTATATACAAAAATTTAAAGAATATGCCAGAAGCAAAGGCACAAGATTTAAAAAACTTCAAAACTCAAACGATTCATTTTCAACAAGTTTTACATAAAAATAAAAATTGAAAAGAAGTAGTTCATGATGCTGACTTAGAACTTTGCGTACTTCAAAAGCCGAAGAGAATTAAATTGCAATCTGTTCAAGACAAATAAATCACTTATCCATACTTTCAAGAAAGAAAACACTACATCATCAAGAAAATACAATAAACTGATTACTCGAACTAATTTGAACAGAAAAGTATGTAGTTTAAATGGTACGTAAATTTTAATTTGAGCTGCAAATGTAATTATCACTGTGCAATATACCTATGTATTTTGTATGCTCTAAATTAGATCAAAAGTAAAAGACTTTTGATATCAAATTATTCTTCTCATAAAATTTTAAACAGCGATCATTGTTCAATTCAATAAAAATATGTCTCTTCAAGAATTTTTTCTTTCATTGGTCAAAGAAAAAAAGATGTGACTGTTAACAATCAGAATAAAATAACCCACTATTATACAGTACAACTTGTTACATCAACTGATAGCAGATTATTATACAAGTTTTCAGTTATTCTTCAATGAAAGAAAATGAATTTGATAAGATAGTGCACAAAAAGTGAATTGTTCGACGAAATGTTGTAGTAAAGGGTTGAAAATTTAGAACAAGCAGTATAGAAACGTATCATTCTTTTTTAAATGACATTCTATGTCCTTTGATAATCAGAGAATTTCTTGTGCTCCTTGATTCTTGGAAAATTCAAGCTGACATAAAAAAATTTAGAGTAGCAGACTCAAATCAAGGGAGTAGGTTACTGATTTGTTCTGCAGGATCAATAGGGTTATGTTTAATCGTAAGATCTATCTTTGCTTTGTTCATGGTAATATCTTCATAAGAAAAGCGAACATTCTACTTATATCATATCTAATACAAATGACTATAACTAATCGTCAATTACTACTAATTTGTGCATGGTGCAAACAACACCTCTGTTACTATCATTTGATTGAAGACCTACATTTCTACTTGTAGTACAATTTATTCAAATATTATATTGTATGATGTTTTTTTTCTTCGTTGAAAAAGTATCGAAAGTATGGATGATTTAAATATTTTAATAATTGATAGTTAATCTTTGTTTTGAAAATTATTCATATAAGATTTTCATTTTGACTTAAAAATTTAGCAATTGGCATGAAAAGATTAAATTGAAATACATTATTTGAATATATAGTTACTGAAGTACAGAGTGACAGAAGTCTTTCTTTATCATCAAGAATATGAATTATCTTTCTTTTAATTATTGTTAATCTATTGAAACAATGATGACAGTTATGACGTAAACTTGTATCTATGCTAGAATCTACAAGCTTGTTCGATGAACCGCAAAACTCATCTATTTTAATCGATTATCGACTCATTCTATCCTTGATCAAGTAAGCGAAAGAAAAAAAGCGAATGAGAGAACAAGAACAATCAGGTCAATGTTTTCTTTTATGATCAAATATCATTCTCTATGGCTCAAACAAAAAGTTTAATTTCGTCCATATTTTCACAATTTGCTGATGATTATGAAGTTTATGTTGATTATGGAAAAGGACGACCAATTAAAATGAAAAATAATGAAGCAACATTTATAGATGTAGAAAAATTTCTTATTGAACAAAATCGTTTGCCAAAATCGATTAATAATAAAAAACCAAACAAAATTGTGAGAATAAATGTTACTCACAATAATAAAACAAGAAGCAAAAATATTAGCATACAAGATTCAAAAAGAAATGATGACCAAACGTAAGTTCAAAATTTCTGATGTCTACAATGATTAGTTAGCATAAAGTTTTTCGTGATATCGATTCGAATATCAACTTTACATTTTCCATTGAAACATAGGTAATCGAGAAAAAAAACACACTAAGCTCATTGATCATAAATCTGATTCTAGATTATCTAAGAAGAAGCTTGTTTATCAAATATTTTTCGGTTTTAGATAAAATGAAATTTTAAGTTTTCCTCAGGTGCTGATATCAACTAATAATGATAAGCTGAGTAGAAATTTGAAAATATTGAGTTTGAGTTAAAACGTTGTATTTGTCCCAAATAATAGGTTCAACATTTCTCTAGAGCTTCTTCTTTACAAGTTATGAATCGATGCATTATGTTACCGACATTTTTTGCATAGAATTAAAGGCAAGATTATTCACTGCGAAGTGATATAATCATCAAGAGTTGCAGAACAATGATTTCAGAATAGCCAAGCTAATTTTGCAAGTCTATTTTCCATAAAAATTGAGAAAATTGAAATGGTGCTCCTTATACTCGCTGTTAACCAATGACTTAAAGTAAACTACTTATTTGTCTATCAATTTATAGAGAAATGTTTGTTCTTTCATTAGCTATATTTCAAATATTTCTTGATCGTACGGTGGGTAAGTTTTAGCGCACTAAAGCTCACTTAAAACTCAACTTATGAGCTTAAAAAAGTTTGTTCCACAACTCTTCTACCAGAAGTGCTACAAAACTTTTGAAGTTATATTCTGAAAGAACACAGAATTTAAATATAAGTCTACTATTTTTTAAATTTATACAAGCTCTTTTAAGAGTTTGAAAAAAAAGAACGATCATTTTGTAAAATTAATTTTTGATAATCTTTCATTAAAAGTTTAAATTAATTTTTTCTAGTTCAACACGTGAAATTGTTCCTTATTCGTATTCTGGTAAATCTAGCAAAGAAAATACTAATCGTAATTATCCATCAACATATACACCTAATTGTTCAAGTCAAGATTCATCATCAGCTCGAATCGAACCAACAATAATCTATGATGAAATTTGGTTATCAAATAAACAATATAATAAACGTGTAGCTGCATTTATTGATCATGTCCATGAAAAATTTATGGATAAAAACACAGAAATATCTAATGAACATAAATCATTATGTTCATCATCTGCTTATAAAGTATCTACAAGACAAATTATTTATAAAGGAATCTATCCAACAAAAATTGAAACAAATTTATGCTTACGTATTGCTGTTAATGGTGTATCAAAATCTATGCGAGGACAATTACCATTATCAAATTTAAATTTAAATGACGGAGATTTCGGCGATGATGCTGGAATGATTGTTGACAATCGAAACTTTTGTTTTGTTGGTAAATTTAAATAAGATAATAAAAAAAACATGACAACTTTTAATATCTAATTATTGTTTGTAAAGGTCTAGCTGACGGTGCTGGTGGTAATCGTTCATATGGAATAAATCCAGCTGATTTTTCTCGAGCTATTTTAGCAGCTTGTGAAAAAATTCTGCATCACAGTAAATTAAAACCTAATCAATTACCACGATTAATTAAATCAGCTTTGCAACGATTAGAAACAAGCGAGGTTCAAGGTAGAGATTTAAAACAAATTAGTTTTATTCGTAAGACAAAATGAATTTTTCAGGTAGTAGTACATTATGTTTACTTGCATTGGATAAGCAAGAACATACATTAACATCATTAAATATTGGTGATAGTGGATTTGTTATTTATCGTAATAATGAAATATACTGTCGATCAACATGTACAATGAATTCACATAATTCTGGGCCGATACAATTATTTGCTCTTAATGATTGGATTGGTTTATCTTGTTTTATGAATGAAACGTAAGTAAGAAATTATTAGTACGACCTTCATGAGTGGCTAAAATCTAGAACTGATAAACTCTGACTGTTATAAATTTATGACATACTGTTAGACGGGTTGAAATGATTTATTCACAAAAAAAAATACCACAGAAATGAATAAATCAAAATTACAACGATTTTAACAGTTAATACTCGTGTTGTCAAAATTTTACGATTTCGAAAATGTTTGTATTTCGAACTACTATTCTATCAATTTATTCAATTCATTTAACCTCGTTATGCCGAAAAAGCTTATCCGTATAGTTAGATAGATTTTTAAATGCATAAACTGATTTTCTCTCAATAATACTATATGCGATACATGACATAGCAAGTGGCACATATCATTTTGTTCTTCGTTTCCATCACTATATTAGCCTACTATAAGCATTAATTTAATCTCTCCTAGGTCGAGAAGTACGGGTCGGTTCCCGCAGAAAAACACCGGAAATCGACAGAACATGGAAGCAGTATTCCGGTCAGGAATTTTTCAGACTTTCCATGATGAATTCCAGTCAATTCCTGCTCTTTCCATCAGCAATCGGTCAGAAATCATCGGGAAAAAATCCGGAAAATTCCTGACCGGAATATAGCTTCCATATTCCGTCGATTTCCGGTGTCTTCCTGTAGAATATGGCGATTTTTCCACATCTTTGCTGCCAGTTCCTGCAGTATTCGGAGGCCGGAATCATCGTCCTGGACTCATGAAGCTTCCGAGCACGCCGTCCTTTCTTCCGATGAACTTTGACAGAAACTATTGAGTTTTCCCAAACTTAGAATACAATTAATTCATACTTTTCTATGTCAGATCTATTCTGACTCTGGTGGATCAATCATACGACTGCCTTACAAATTAACACCTACAATAAGATCCTTTTGCTGTATTAAACATCAAAACCTGCAATATTTATAATAGTTAGAATCTATAGTAGAAATCTGAGAAATATAGAATGGTTTGGAAGACTCTAAAAAATTTCAGAATGATACGAGCAGTATTATTATCGGCATATCTTTTTTCATTGCTAGGAAAACGTATCCAATGATCTTCAGCTTTTCTCCTCCCACCCCGTCGCTAGGGTCCAAGGGGATCAAAGCATAAACTAATTATTTTCTTCGAAAATATATATGAATTCCACTAAAATAAAATTTCAATGATTTCTTTCTATTTCTCGTATTATCATCTAGTAAATTTCTACAAGATTGTTTATTAGATAATGTTAAAGTTCGAAAAGGTGATATTATTATATTATCTTCTGATGGTTTATGGGATGTAATTGAATCTGATCAATTACAAAAAGTTGTTGAACGTAACAAAAATAAAGTAAGATTTTCATATAAAGAATTTGTATGTATGTTATATACAAGATTTCTTTTATAGCATCTTCAAAATTTAGCTGATGATCTTCTTAAACAAGCAGTTGATGGTATGTTCAAAGAGTTTTCTAGTTAATCAAAAATATATATAGTTTAATTTTTAGGATATATTAGTGATGGTCGAGATGATATTTTAATTATAGTCTGTCGAGTTGATGAATCATGATCACATTTATACGTATTATTTCATTCGACTTAAATTGGATACTTTATATTTAATTGACGGTTTATTCAAATTTTTTTTCCATATTAATTAGTTATGAATTTATAATAAAAAAAAAGACGACATTAGATTGATCTAAAGATAAGTTTAATATCAATCGAGAAGCTTCAACCGTAGACATTAATTTTTCAAATCTTGATTAACAGCCGATGGATAATATGAAATCTGAAGTTTTATTCTTGAAACTCAAAAAACACCGAATTATTTTATCCTTTAATTAAGTTAATTTGTGCACAACTATCATATTTAGAATGGTGTCTAATTAGCCTATTTTCTTCTTAAAGAACAGAGTTGTGTTTTACAGATATACGAGTTAATCGAGTAAAACATGTTGTCTTGATATATTATGTAAATTAATTGAAAAACAAGGTCGAATAGTGCTTCCCATAGACAGTAGAACCAAAGAATACTTGAAAAATCCCAAATTTCAACCGAACTGTATTACATTTTTGAGTTGCTAATTTCCGTTCTTCTCTTTATGAAAGAAGCTTTTTATAATGAGTACTCTAATGGAAATACAATTATATTACATCTTTGTATAACCAAGAAACATGCGCAAATTTATCAGGATGAGTACATATTTCTTTTTTTTCGGAGTAGACCTCTTATTTCTGCTCTTCAGTTCCATTTAACAACAGCATAAGTTGATTGATAATTTTTTTAAACATTCTATAATGGTATCTCAAATGTTCTTTTTTTTCTTTTCAAAACCACACTAATTCTTATTAGCTTCGAAGATTTGTGTCAATCTAATAAGATTTATCATTTTAAACAACTAGAAGAGTATTGTACGAACAATATGCATTTTCGTTCTTTTTAAAACGATTCATCTAATACCGTTCTTAATGATCCACTATAGAGATTTGTGGGACTTGAATGCAGTCCTCCGCATCAGAATGTGTTCGGGTTTTCTTGGTAACTTCCGTGCGAGGTTTTTGTTTTTTGCTGGCGGAAGAAGTAGACATGTTCTCAGAAAAAAAGAGTGACATTTCAATCTAGAGTATTACATATAACTTCCAGTGATATCCGACGTTTTGCTTTTAGGATAGTGACTTTTCCGCATCTTGCCAACAGGTTCCGTGAAAAATCTGTTTGTTTCCGGAACACAGAATCGTTCCTATGACTATGTCTGTTTTAATCAATGAAATTGAGGAAAAAAAAATAATTCTTTATGTCTGTGTCTTCATTCAAAATGTTCTTTTTTCATTTCTCAAGTTCCTCGATTGGTATTGATGTTATCTTGACGTAATGTCTGTTAAAAAAAAAGAATATTTTAATAAGAAGAAATTTTTGTTTATTTTAGGACGATTCTCTTAACTATAACTACTGGGTTTTAATTAGAAAAATAGTTTATTTAGAATAAGTATTCAACTCAAGATGTTGTTCGTTCAAGTAGATATTTTACGTCTTGAAAATTCATTAAATAAGTATACAAGATGTCATTTTATTTTTTCGTTTACGCTCCAACTCATTTTTTTTTGATTACATCGAATGTTTATTATTATAAAACAAAGAAATAATTACTTTTGCTGAAAGAACATTATTTTTGAAAGAGGAAATTAAAAATATTTTATTCAAAAAAAAACATCTTTTAACATATCGTAAAAAAGGCTAACATAATGATTAGAAGTCAGTGTGAAATAATAATTGTCTTTTTTTCTTTTATGATAGTTTGTAATCTTCTTTAGTCTTATTATATTGCTGTCAATTACAAATTCTTATCAATGATGAGTATAAACAAAAACAATGGCATCAACTATATGTAGTATTTTCGTATCCATAAGAATGATTCTGTCAAATAATTCAGTGTATCATAAAAGAATAGGGAAAATATTTATTGACACTAGACTTTGCATTCTTCAGACGGATAAGTCAAGAATCTTCGAATCGTTTTTTATTTTTAGTGACGTGGTATAAAACAATCGTTTTTAATTAATCCCTATTGAAATGCGAAAAAGAACAAGTGGGAGCTCGTATGTAATCCCAAGACAAATATGACAAAATAAACCTTACAGTGTACTATTAAATGTAATTAATACAACTACAACTTTTGTATTAAGGTACAAGCGCACGTGTTCTTGATGTTATGTATATATATCGCATATGTTTGAGCGCTATGAATAACGTTTGCTTCATATTCATAATTTTTCATCAAAATAAGCAAATTTAAGAAAATCATGTTTAAGTAAAAGGTAGAATAAAAAATATTTAAAAAAAGAAATCTTTACTCAACAACTCTTTCATGATCCTGAGGGAAAAGTAATCCAATCACGAACATTTTTAACTTAATTTGCAAGAACACTGCCATGCATACATAATTAAAATAAATTGGTCAGGCATATATCTATGTCTATGTTGTTAGTTGGAAATTGTAGCATTTAATGAACGAAAGTCATGAGATATTATCGACATTCTGCTTCTATTATTATATTGTCTAGGACGGAAGATGATAATATCTATCGTTTCAGCTATCTAATAAACTCATTTGTGAATATAAACTACGATATTTATGACACTATATCAAGATTATTTTCTTTTAGCACTAAAATAGATTGAGATTTGTCTTGTAAACTTTACAAATTATCTAAACAACTACCAATTATTTTCGACATATCAGTGCTTATATTAACAGAAAAAAAAAGAATCTGAATATATTCTATTTCAAGCATCATATTGATTACTGTAATGAAAAAATCTCTATTATCTGATAATATATTAATCTTTTGCGAAATTAAGTTAGCAAGAATTTTCCAATACTAATGTTCTTTTTATATCATATCATTTAATATCAATCAGATTGTACTTTTGTTCTTGAAAATAATAGTCAACTGAATCAAGTTCGAAGAAACGATATATGACATCAGATGTTTCGTGTAGTTCTTTATATAGACAGTATTATTTGTTGTAATTCAGATTGAATTTTTCCAATGTTTTGATCATATTTTACATAAGTATGAAATACTTTTCTCGATACCGGTAGTGCTATATGATGACTGATCATGAATCATACAGGTTGAATACTTCATCTTGATGTATTCGTGACTTTCATTAATTTTGCTCCATGATTAGTGAAGAAGTAATATGCATGTAATCGTAAAAAAAATGAATCCTTAAGAACGAAAGATTTTCTAAGTATTATGTCAGTATGGTATCAGATTAATGGCAAGCTGCCCTACATAATTATTGACTATTTGGTTTAGACCAACTGACTTTTCATGTATACCGATGTCTTTGAGATTCTATACAATAAACAATATTGTATTCTATATTAATTATTTTAATATATAATTTATATCAATCAAAAACTAATATAATCTTTATTTAGAATGATTTCGATTGATATATAAATAACAAAAAACATAAAACTTTTTTTTTTTTGTTGAGTCAAAGAAAAATGTACAGAGAATATTACAGAAAAATAAGAAAGAAACTTTAATTACAACAATTGTTATTGAAAATGATTTCTTCTATGATATTTTAATCGCTGTTCGATTTCCCTCCAAACATAACTTTTTTCGGAATTTTCATTATTTGAATTGACATCCAAAAATTGTCTTAAATATTTTTGTGGTGTTCTTACACTATTGCTTGTATAATTTTGATTATAAACTCCTCCATTTGTAAGAATAAGATTTTTCTTAGAAGAATATTTATTAAAAGAATTTTTATTATTGCCTTCATTAGGATTTGATGGTGTTAACAACATTGAACGATTAAAATCATTTTGTGCACTCAATCCATCTAAACTATCATTCGTTTTCTTTCGACGTAAATGAAATAATGTAAATGCACGTCGACGTTTTATACGACAACGGCGAAAATAATATGTTAAATATAATTTAAGTGTTAAACGAAATTTTGGATTTATTGAGTAGATATAGAAATTTGCACCATGATTTATAGTTAACATTATATTTGATATACAAAATAACTTAATGCGTATTTTATTAAAATACATTTGTTGTTGAATACTAAAGAATGGTGCTATTAATAAATGTATAACTTCAAGTAAATGTGCACTGCGACATATCATATAAACAGTTAGTACACAAACAATCATTAATGTTATACGAAAATATGTATCTTGTTTACGATCATTACGAAATGTGGTATTAACATTTTTTTTTGTTAATTGACTTTGTGCTGAGCGTAATGCACGAATTAAAAATAACCAAATTAAAAAGCATATTAACCATGGACAAAGTAAAGATATTGTTACCATTGTTGGATAAAAATATCGAGAAAAAAATCTCGTTCGTAATAATGGTGATGCTCCAAGACTATAGTATTTTATTGAACCATTATTGGTACAATAAACTCGTATACTTGTATAGAGAAATAAGGGTAGATTAACAAATATTGATAAGAATAGGATGATTACTATTGCATACCGAGCAGTACGTCGATTACAATAAGTTTTTGCCACTAATGGTTTCTACAATTAAGATGAAATGTTTTTTTATTCATACAATTTGTTTATTGGCGTTCTTAGATATTTTCTTTTTCTTTGTATTTTCATAATCTATCTACGAGCAGTAATAAATTGTCTACTAGATAATCCTTTTTCTCTATGTTAATATCTCTCTGTTATGTTTATTGATAATTTCTTATCTATATTATAAGTTCATCTTTCAATTTTTGATATTGATCCTTTTCATTATGATTTATTGAAAATTTTCTCTACATCAATATTATAAAAATAATAATAAGAAAAAAACATAGTAATCATCTATATAGTGAGAATTGTTTCTCAAATAACCACTTAAATATAAATTAGCAAGAAAGAAACAGTATACTCCAAAACAAAAGCTTCAAGTGATTTCACACAACATCAGCGTTGAAGTTTTTGCTGTTTTCTTTTTTCTTACAAGTATGTTATATTTATCGTGCAGCCTGATTTCATGCATGCAGAGACTAATAATTTAGTAACCGGGGGCGTCGCGATCTTGGTTTCACTTACGAGCATTCAGATGTATTCTTCTTTCTTTTTTTCTTGATTCTATTAATAGATCAGTATGTATTTTTACAATAAATTATTCAAACGTAAATAAAATCATTCAATCATATTTCATGAATAGATTTCAAGCATATATAATTTATATTTTTATGAAATACAATTGATTACGTCAGGTTCTGTGATTTTTTTGTAGACTTGGAAAATGAGAAAAAATATTTTTCATAATCTGTAGTAGGAATTAAAAAATATCTGTTATTAATTTTATGACATATGATAAATTAATATCTGGTTTTGATTGATTGACAAAAAATAGATTTGTCCTTAAATCTCATTTATTCTGAATATTAATATTGTCATTAAATTAAATAATCTAATTAAAAAAAACAAGAAGATTTTTTTTCTTTACCTTCACAACAATTAATCGAAATGTTGTAATTAATACAATAAGCCAATTACTAAATGTTGTAAATATATTTGCTAATCCATTAAAAATAGCTCGAGCAATAATATGTGTAGTTAAAAATGTAGATGAATTATTCAAATGTGGTAAACAATAATAAAATAGTATATTGTTTAATGAAACAACTGTAGGCGGAACAAGATCAGCCCAAGCAAGTGTAACTAAAAGTGTTGTCATTGTTGATCGCATATGACGTCGAGTAAGAACAAATAAATTGATTAAATTACCAGCATCTGCTAATATTGATAATATAATACTAATTACGCCTAATGTCCAAAAGGCAAAAGGAGAGCGAAAATGTATTTCGCTAAGACGACTGGGATCTAAAGATTTTCTTTTTCTTTTATTAGTTTAATAATAAAAACCAATGTTTTTACCTTCAGTACAATTCATTGAGATAAGATAATATGCAATGATAACTATTAGTACAAATCAATCTAGAATAATAAACATATCTGTTTTTAATAGTATTGACAGGTACAAATAAAACAACACAAAACAATAGCAATACAACTGACAAATGCGTTATTTATTCCTTTTTGTTTATTTTTACTTTCATTAAGACACAATTATAAGTTGTGTAGTATCTAAGTCAAATTATACTTACTGAGTATCATCCATCCGAATAAAGATGAAAAACATGATAAAGAAAAGACAAATTCTCTAATTATAAATCATTGAAGCAGCAATTTTCTCATTGATATTTGAGTGTAGGATCAATGCAACAAAAATCAGCTCTGAATTGACCTAGTCATCATGACATTTTCGTCAAGCTCTTCTTCTTTCTCAATGAAAAATATTTATATGCAATACAAGGAGTAGAAAAAAAAACGAGGTCACTTTAGATAACGGAAAAGCTTTCTGAAGAACATCTCGTTTCGAAAAATCGAATTGTCTTTAAAGTATTTATAGAATATGAGCAAAATAAATGCACGTTTTTTCTATTTGAATAATTAAAAAGTAAAAATATAACACAATCGATTTCTAATTGTTATTCTGCATCATAGCTAGGGGAAATCGTTTTTTAAACAAATATAAAAGCATTAGTGTTTCTTTCCTTTGAATGTTCATATAAAATATTTTCTAACACTAACATATAGTTGTCATATTAATAAACAAAGAGATATGCTACATACTAAAATGATTGGCGGTACATTTTTTCTTCTTTTTCATTATACGTTGACGTTCGAAGAGTGAAGTATGGTTTCTTTTTCTCTTTTTTGAAGAAGAAGAACATGCTATGGAGAAAACATCAAAAAAAAAATTTTTTTTCTTGGTTTCCAAAGAAATTATGTAAATGGTAATGACTATTCTTTTCTAGTGACAGTAATATTTATTAATTCTAGAGTAAAAAAAATTATGATGATATAAGATCCCATGTCGTCGAAATCTAGCACAAATGGCGATTTTTGTGTGAAAATTAGAAAAATCGCCAATTTTTATTTGACTGTTGACCCAGGTAGTCTATATATGATCGACTTATTTCGTCAAAATCGTTTGGTTTTTCCATGTATTGTGTTTTTGTTGCGATTTTGATGACATGGGATAAAACGAACTAATTTGATACACATTAAATCTTTGTGTGGGATTATTGTTCGTGATTATAAGGGTTAAATATTTAGACAAAGGAAAGACGTGGTGATTATATGTTCGCGAACTAAGAAAAAAATGTCTATACATGCAAACATGGCATGAGCACATATGTAGATAAAGATTAATTTGGACGGAATGTCGTATACTAGTAATTCTCTAACGATTATAGACGCACAAGAAAAGGGCGTCATATTAATGTTTTTAGACATTTTTCTACTGACACTTCTTAATTCTGAATTTTTTTTTTCGAAATATACTCATTTATTACTAAAGAGAGAATATCTAAGAGAACAAGTGACAAAGAAGAAAATCACTCTCGCTTTTTTCTCGGCATGCATCCGCTCGAACAAGATATAAAATTTCTCCTACTCATTATACTCTTTTCATTAATATCTATGGAGACACAGCAGGACACAGAACATCTAATTTTTTTTCTTAACATTGTATCTGTTTATTATGTTGAACATAAGTAACTGAAAGAAAGAAAAAAAACACGACGAATACAAAGAAAAAAAAATTAGAACTATCTTATTGTTATAATAATACAGAAACTAACTGTTTCCTGTATTACTTGTTTCTTCCTGTGCAACACCGCGACATAAAAAAATACGAAGAATTTCAATCAAATAAATAATATTGATTTCTCATATTCTCTATAGTGTTGAATACAAATAAGGAAAAAAGATCGTTTGATTTCCGTCGGAAAACTTATTATAGGTCAAAATGACTAAAAAAAAGATCCTTATATACCAATATCAACTTTTAAGTTCCGATAATGAACATTTTATATAGTATCTATGATTGACATATATTAGACAATAATATGACGCATAGAGAAAAAGAAAAAAGAAAAATCGAACGAACAATAGTAATCTTCTCGCCGTTTTTGAGTGCTAGAATGGATCGAAGTGATTCAATGATCAACACATTTTATATCTTTTATTCAATTACACACCCGAACAGTGAAAAGGAAAAATCTATTACTTTGTTGATAATGCTAGACACGATGATTTCTCTTATGTATATATGCATGATTTATGTTTCCGTTGGATTAAATTCAAATGGTACATAAAAAATAGACAAGTGAAATATAATACATCAAAAACAAAAAAACGCACTCAATCCTAGTTAAAAAAAACATAATATATGCCACATACTAATCCAAAGCTTTTTGTTTGTCTAATATAATGCATATCAAATTTTCAAGCATAATATATGGTTAATGAACCGGAAAATTCATTTTATAAAGATAAAATGAATACCAGATGTAGCCATATGACTTATAAAATATAGTACAAAATAGTAATAGCAGAATAAAGGATGTCCTTAAGCATTTATATGAAGTACATTCTAAAATACTTTTTTGCTTGGGGTAAATTCATTTTACCTGTGACTGATTAAATAATTTTAATGTGTCTAATTTAATAAAAGTATATGATTCAATTGAATTTACACTTTAATGTTATTCTTTCGCGGATATTTCCTACTTACCTTGCCAAATTCTAAGAAAAAGTGTATTATACTCTTTTGATTCTAGTCGTCATAGACCATTAAGATAGAAAATAGGATGTCATATGAAATATCCTATTTTGTTTATACTTGTCTGTGATCCCATGTACATCAAAACTCGGTTATTTCACATGTAGTAAATGATTCACCTGAAGCACTGTATGACTGAAACTATAATATGTAGGTTTGCTTTTGGTGTTAATCCACATATTATTTGACACTCATCTTTTTCTTCTTTAATGAAATAGATATAAAAATGCGTACGCATGGATGCAAGCTGAATACACATAATTCTGACAGACTAATAGGAAAGAAAAAAAAGGGAAACACATAAGAATGATAGTAGAGCTTCAATAAGTCAATCAGTGTTGGAATATGCCTAGTGATATAAAGGCAACAGCCGGTGTTTTTCTATTCTCATAGAAATCTAAACGTCTCATGAAGAAACAACAGATTGCTTTGGAATATTGACAATGCAATAGATTATGAAAGACATAAAAAAAGACAAAGATTGTTGGCAAGAATTTTAATCAAATTAAGTAAAATTATGTTAAATTTAATGCTGATAAAATTAGTTGTAAAAGAACTTGTTTTTTCTTGTTATATTCAAATATGAGAAATAAAGCTTCTATTAATACAAATAAAAATTCTTTTTCTTTTGTTTGATTAAATATTTATAGACATCGTTTATTAAAAGTGTTCGATGACGTAGCAAAGCTTTCTCGTCTTTTTTTAGCCGTTGTTAATTTTGATAATGAAGATGAAGAATCTTTTCGATTTATAATTGGTGTTGCTAAATAGTCTAATGTTTGGTGAATTTTGATATCATGATTATCATGTGTTGATTTTAATATATCAATATCAGTTATCCGTACATGACGAGATATGGGACTTGTTAATGGTGGAAAATAAATTCGAACAGGCAATTCACGTTGAGATCGATTATCTGAATCATCAAGAATTTCTAATGGTTTTGAATTATGATCAATTTTTTGTAAACGTTGAGAATGATGTTTAAATATTCTTTGATGAAGACGAGATAAACGTGGTGAACTAAATAATGTTGGTGTGAAACATGATGTTTCCACTTCAGACTCTATAATTGGCTTTCGCATTGTTTTACATGAATGCGGATGTCGATGTCGTTGAAGCCATGCGTTAAATTGATTGATACACATACTTTTACTACGTTGAAATGTTTCTTTTAAACCAAAATGTGAACGTTTTGTTTCTTTATTCAAATTATCTAATGATAATTTATTATTTGATTCGGTTTCATTTGTTGATAGTGTTGAAATAAGTTCTATATTTGATTTTGGTTCTACTTGTGATGGTATAATTGTTTGCAATGGTACTACTGGATCAGGTAGAAAATATTGAGGAAATTCTGAATATGATATAAGAGATAATTTACGTAAAGAACCACGTGAAAAAATAACTTTAAGACGAGATTGATTTGATTGAATTTTATTTGTAATTGATTTTTGATTTGTTCTAAGAAAACAAATAGTAATTAGATTTTTCCTTTTATTTTCAGATCATTTCAATAACTATGTGACTAGAATTATTTAGGTAGCTTAAGAAAAAGAATATCAAAAGTTTGTTTTTCTTTTAAAGTAAATTCTAATTTCATTTTAGATTTTTTTATTAGAGTTGATAATTGTTTATTAGCTAAAAAAACAAACAGAAGTGTTTTTTCGAAATATTTTTGTTCTGATAATAAAATTAGTTTCAACCAACATCTGAATCGAACTGTTGACGGTTGATAATATGCTGTCAACAATAGATAGATAGTGATATGAATTATTATTTTCAATCAATATAAATACATGAAAAGAAAATGTTTTACTTTTGTCAACAGAAAAGAGTGTTGACAAAAAAATATTCTTTATTGTCAACTATTTTTTGACTTTATGCTTTTTTTTTCTGTAGAGAATATATGTAGAGAACGTTGGCCATCTAGTCAAATCTAGCTTTATATATATTTTTTTTTATATAAACTGTTTTAAACATTTAATATATTTCGAAAACAAAAAGTGTCATCCATATAAAAAATAAAACAACTCTATTAGATTTGTCCTCAGTTTGAGAAGCAAACGATTTCTAATAATTCAGAATAACTTTTTATAAAATAATGTTTTTTTTTTTGACTCACATTGAAGAATTTAATAATTGTAAATCTTTCATAGAATCTTGTTCAAATTTGATTCGATCTCTTTTAAAATGTTCAAGTTGATCAAAAAAATCTTTATTAAATAGAATTGCTCGTTCAGTTGTTTTATTTGATGTAC